AAAATAACTTTATTGTATATAGAAATGTCTTCATTATCATACTGTTAGGTTTATTTTATAGTAAAATGCTTGAGGTGGGCGGAGTTCAATTTTTTTAAAAATATCATTGGTACAATTTCTTATGTGACATTTTTATGTATTTAACGTTTTTGTTGATATCTCTATCATATTGTTGGTTGTTTTTATGTATTTATTTTGTTGATTTATGAAAATTCTGATTGTTTTTACTATTGTGCATTAATGCCTCAAAATGTTTTTAGTTACAACAAATAATATATAATGTGTACCCTGATTTTCAATTGGCGTTCCTCTATAAAAAAATTATATACCTATATAGTTACATCGTAAACTTGAATCAGTGTTGTATATACTCTTACACACTTATATATGTATTTTAAATGTTGTTAGGCCCAAGGTTAGGGCCATAATTGTGGGCCATTAATATGTTTGTTCCTCGAGAGTTGCGCTTTATGTAACACGAAACTTATCCACCTAGCAGATGAGTTACCGAATTCAACGATGTCAAAACATATCGAATAAAATTTATTGTGAAGATTTTATCAGGAGATCCTGGAGGTGTTGTCTAGTATCATTTGTTAGATTTGTATGTTAATTTTTATGCATAAATTGAGAACAATTAAGGTTTGAAGCATATGGTTTCTAATTTGGGGTAGGTAGTCATTAATGTTATATTTTGCCAAAAAAATTGAGAATCATTGTAATTTCTAATTTAACATGTAACATATGCTATTCGTATTAACTATAAGCATTGATATTAGAGGTAAGTACACACAGAATTAAGAAATATGCGTTGGTGCACAAGATTTCACGATTGGGTGTAGAGAAATCCCTAAATTTGAACAACATACCCCCAATGAAGACATGTGTTCCTTAACTAAGTTACATATTCCGGACACGATTGCATGTATTTTTATTAAAAAAATAGGCTTTACATATTCGACATGTAGTCAAAGATGTATACTCATCATACTATTCTGAAAGCACCAATGGACACGTTTAATGTACATCTAAATGACAAGAATTTACTTATAGAGTTGATAGTTTTAATATGTCTCATGTATAATATTTACTTCGCATACCTTCTAATACATTTTTTTGTTGGGATGTTTTCCCTAGTTTACAAAATGTTAATATTGACAAAGCCAATAGAGAGTGTGGGGGTGTCGAGAGACCCATAATTGGACAAAGCTGACGAGCAATGATTTATTCAACCCACAACTATCTAAACTATCTGCAATACCCCTAACTGGAAGTCACATACCCCCAATGATGATATTTGTCATCTATTTCACTAAGTTACATATTTCTAAATGATTGAATGTACTCATATTGAGGAATAGACTTTCTAAGTAATTTTATACATATTTGACGTATATTGAGAATATATGTACTCCTCAAATATTTTGAAAGCATTGATGACACGTTTTATGTACATATCACTAATACGTTCCTCATAAGATGAGAGGATTCAATGTCTCATACATGACATTTACTTACTACATGATATGTTCTTGTTGGGAGTTTATTCCTACTCTAAAATATAATTGCACAAACAATCACAATACATAGAACATCATGGATCATTAGCTATGCACTAACTACATGATATGTTATGTCATATATATTCTAAATGACATTTTCATCATCCTTAAATATATGGATAGGTGATCCCATAAGTTATTTTAGAAATATCCGCTGATGCACGCTAACTTCCGAAAAAGTGGGTATGATATAATCAACTAGTAACTATTTGATTCAACAGTAATCAATGACTAATTTTGGATAGATACTTAAATACTCATGTTCACAATAATTATACTTGTATACAAATATGAATACTTCCATACACAAAGATGCACCCTCTTATTCTGATATATATACATATAATATTAATGAATATTCTCTCTGAATGCCACAACATACTTGTATTTTCATTGTAGCAACTCCTTAAAAAATATTAAATACCTTTATAAATAAATGTGATTTATGTTGCCGGATGGAATAAATCATTATGACAAAAGGTAATGACCTTGTTAAGCGCACCAAACTATTCAACGACTCGGTTATATTATTATTTATTATTTTCCAACGAGTCTCTTGAAATAGATAATTCGCCTAACACTGGCGCTGCAGTTGTGCAATGAAGTTTCGCGAAATTGGCATGGCTTCCATAACATACGTTATATGCTGCTCAAAATTATTCTGTAGAGGGACATAACTGGCTTTGTTGAAAATGGATGTTTATCGCTTCTTCTTGTGCATCGGATATCTCCGCATTACCTGTATGAAATATAATTACTTTGTTGTACATATAATAATATATGACACATATATTTTACACATAATTGAGCGTGAAAGTTTCCAACTAGGTGCAGAGACCGTATAGGTAGTGGGGTCCGGGAAATATCGCAAGAATAACTTTAAAAGTTTCAAATGTCTATCCAAAAAAGAGTATATTATTTCCAACTATTGACCATCAACATAAAGAACATACGTTAAATTGCAGCAAAACCATCCCCAATTTTTATCATTTTTTGTAGATACTACTGCATAGCTACAAGATTTTAACATTATCTAATACAAGTACATAAGACAAATATCAAGGTTCATATATGATTATAAAAAATAAATGCATCATACGATATCAGACAACATGGTAAGATTAATCAATATGGTTATAAAAAAAATGCATCATATATGATTATAAAAAAATGCATCATACGATATCAGACAACATGGTTATAAGATTAATCAATATAGGTATACTACATTGGAAAAAAGTACGCGTGAAAATACTTACGGATACTAATAGGAAATCGCAACGGCCCCCACAACTTTTTCCCTATATATATTGTCCCAAATGAAAGGTTATAATGAAACCCAATTAGCAAATACTGCAATCATAATCTCAAACAAAATAACAATCATCGAAACAATAGTAAAATACTTACTAGAATCAATCGCAAGCTCTAACAGCACCGTCGTAATTAACCAACAAAATAATCATACCAAAAGAACATCACACGCTGAGGAATCGAACATTCTTCTTACTCGTTTCTCTTTTACGCGAAAAAAACCTAAAATTTGGAATTTAGATTCGAAACCCATCACAGTCACCAACGATCACATATTCCTCATCGCGAACAAAATTGAACGATTGTAGACAATTTTTTTTTTTTTTTTTTCGCGAGAATGAAACCAAATGCTGGACACAATTTTTTTCCTTGACGCGAAAACAAATATATATATATATATATATAGAGAGAGAGAGAGAGAGAGAGAGAAAAAAAAAATTGATATTAATAAAATGAAGTTTGGGTTGAAGAGCAAAATTGAAAATGAAAAAATAGAGGGGAGTTAATGGTAAATATTTTTAAAAAGAAAGGAGTACAGTATTTATCAAAAAGATTTAGAAACTGAATTTAAATGTGAAAATAGATATGAATATTTTATTTCAATTGTCTGATAAATTAATCAATTCTTTTTTAAATATTTTTATTCATCTTATTTATATACTATAGGGGTGTGTTTGATATAGAAAAATAGAAATTTCTCTTTTTTGTTCTTATTTCTCTACCTTGTAGAGTAATTGAGAGAATAAAATTTGCATACTTAAATAAATGTGTATTTTTATTTGTTTTACTATTTAACTTTTATCAGTTGTTTTAAAACTAGATTGTTCGTATTTCATAAAATTCATATCAAAACTATTATTATTAAAAAATTGTTAATTAATTAATACTATTTATTTTATTGAAATCCTCTTTTGTTCATTTTTTTGTAATTAAGTTATTCTCTCATTTTCACTCGTAATATGCAATATCATCTAGATCAATACATCCAATTTGTTGTATTTTTTTTATTTTTTTTTTTACCATGTATGAGTTTTTTTTTTTTATATCAAATAGAAGAATGAATTTTTATTCTATGTTCAATTGCTTTACAATTCTTTTCTTATCTATCTGCTCTAGGCATGAAAAAATATGCCTAAATTCAATTAAATACTCCCTCTGTTCCCTCTAAAACTTATATTCACTTTTTTATGGTATTGTATTTAACATTAAAAATATTTTTATATTTGTATAATTTTTTTTTACAAATATTTTTCTATTAGTATTATAATACACTAATTGAAGTATTTTTGGAATTTTTTTGTTAATTTGTACTACGTTTTGATATAATAATTAATATTCAAATATCAACATGCACAAAATAAATGAGACCCTCTGAGGTAGTATCATATATCTTGGAAAAAAATAATATCCCAATAAAATAAATATATATGATACATAAATGTTAGATTTTATATAATAAATATTAACTATTAATACAATAGGTTAAAAATGAAAAATATCATACAAATATGGTATATATCTAGGATTGGCAAAATCACCGAACCGAACCGGTTTTATGCAGGCATGCAGCTTGTTTCAAACTGCCCTACCCATTTAGATAATCAATCTAATGTTAAAAGTGTGTAGAGTCTTGATTGATTGGTAACATGGAAAAAACAAACACTCACTTGTAGTAGAGGTCTCTTCAAAGGCAACCTTTTTCCCCAGTGAATGATGGGACAAAAACAACCATTTGGGAAGGGTGGCGGGATCCCCCCCCTGCCTATTGGATCAATTTAGTACTATATAATAAAAATATACATACATATATTATGTATAATATAACATATTAATAACACGAACATATGTTTTACTATTAACACATTGTATATAATATATACTACTATATGTTTTTACTATATATGTGTTATGTATGATTTGACCCATCAGCACCCGATCCGCGCCCTTCCGAAAGCATTTAGGTATACAAAGCTTAACAAGCCATGAGGGGATATATGGCATCCCATGAATCACCAATTATAATTTAACTGGCCATGGCAGATATCAATCAAGAAGATCCAAGAAAAGCTATTTCAAGAATGCATATAGAAAATACTCTTATCATTAAGAAAATATATTAGAGAGAGAGAGAGAGAGGACAGTGCAAAATGTGATAGCCTCTACTAAAGTCAGTCAGCCTGCCTATCAAGTCATTTACATGAAAATTGGAATCAGAATATGATGGGAAGCCATAAGAGTTCATCTAAGTCTTTCTTCCTAAACCATCTCTACATTATATATATATATATATATATTATATAAGATAAGATAAATGATAAAACTGCATGTACCATGTCCCAAAATGTGCCTCAGGTAGCTAAGCTGCTCCTACTGTTCTCTTATGCAATTTCCAGGCAACAGGTATCTGTACTTGTCCTTGTTTTCCAATAGATAAGCTGGAAGATGAACTGCTGAAAAAGAATGAGGGATAGGGCCCATCCTCTTTATAATGTCCCGGAAGGTGAACTCCTCCGGCAGCATATCGAACAAATCAGCTCCTTTGCAGATGATGTCTTGAATCCTCTTATGGCTGAGGAAGTGAGAAAACCTCACACGATCGGTGTGGCTGTAGGCTTTCATCTTGAAAACAAAGTCATTGATGTATCGGAAGCAAAAGCTACAATGCCAGCCAGAGTCTGCCAGAAGGTAGTCAGATTGACGATAGTGTGCATATCTAGTCTTCCCTTTCCGGTATCTGTGCACTGTAGCTCTCCAACTCGGGTGAACAATTTCGAATTCGTATGAGTACAAGTAGTTCCTGAGATGCAGATGAAGTATGGGAGGAATGTCATCGCACCATCTGAGGAGATTGATTGTATGGGCACTAGGGATCTCGTCAACATCAGACATTATGAGCAAATCGTCATCCTCTATCCCTGCAACTTTGAGAAGCTGATCAAGTGCGAGCCTCTGATATGCCTCTTCGATAAATGGGTTCTCGCCTTTCCTGAATCTTCCACCAATAACCCCATAAGTCAGTCGAGGCTCAATGAATTTGAACTCATCCCGGTGAATGGCAAAGTTGAGAGGCTTTGGTAAAGCAGTGAATGTAGAATTGGATTCCAGCAGCACAAACTCTGTGATGTAAGGATACAGTTCGTTCCATCTAATGGTAAGCATGTCCACTTCATTGCTGAACAAGACTGCATCATACACTCGTCTTGGGTACTCACGGATGCCCCAACCATGAAGGCTGCATAGCGTAGCCATGGAAACATTTTCATTGTAGTAGTGGACAACAGGGATGAAAGGCTTCGGAGGGGACTGCCATAGGGGCCGAAGAAAGTAGGTAACCTTCTGTCCATGACAATATATGGTGAAGACTGCTGATGGAACAATGATGAACAGAAAGAGAAACAACTTATAATCTAATCCAAGGAGCAGACACCGGAGTCTTGACATGCTTAGGAGTGATGGAGAAGGTTGCTGCACAAGAAAAACAAAATCTCCTAAGCTAATTTCATCGATCATAAACTAATTAGTAGATAGATTCTCAGACGAACGTAGACATAAACCTCAGACAGATAAAAGCAAATTCCCTAAAAAGAAGTGTAGATGAACATAAATAAGACAATATTTGGGGCTAACACAATGACAATCAAAAATCACCAAGAACATTGCCAAAAATATATTGAAAAGCATTCAAAAGGCAAATCCTGACCTAATATGGAATTCATGGGAGAACAAGAATAAGAAAATGTCAGGAAAAAGCTTGAAACCTAGCCTTAAACAACACACATAATGGAAATGCCAAACAGTAGCAGCTATTAAAGAAAACTTAGGGATTTCTGGGCAAATTTTTTATGGCTGCAGAAACCTAGGCATTCACTAAATCCACCCCCAATTTTGCAGATAAAAAATTCAAACCACGTCAAAATTGTTTCTCCATGCCCACAACCACGCACAACAATCTCCTGAAAACATCATAAACAAACCAAATATTCCAAAATTCGGAGCAGCAGCAGAATACCTGACCACAAAAATCGGCACATATATCATCCCTCTTTTTCGAAGAGTAATAACCATCCGACGTCATTGACACGCAAATTCTCCGCTCTGCACTATCATGCAGTTAGCCCAATAAAATTAGCGAAGCCACTCCTCACCCCTGCCCGCCTACGTACGCATCGAAATCCTGATCGCGTAAAACCAGAGGGAGTTAAAAACACTGATACATCCTGCAAATTTATGCCAGATTTTTAAATCTGAAAAATAAAAAACTGCTTGAGAATGCTTCCCCAAATACTCAAATTTATTTACACAAAAAACCACACCATTCGTTCAATATAAAAATCAAAATTGAAAGGAAAAGAGATGCGTTGGTGGTTTTATATTCTTCCAACCCCTGGATACTATCAATCACCGTACAATTGCGTCCTTACAATTTCACTCCAATCCTCGAGAGGTTTCCCGCTTCGTGCTGCCGCTGCTACTACTCTCTTTCTCCTCCACTTCCTTCTTATTATTCTTCTTCTTCCTTCTTCTTCTCTTCCGCAGTGAAATTTGGAGTTTTTACAGAGAGGGAAAACCACGGAAGTAAAAATGATTACCACCAAAACCTTCTTCGGTAACTATTATAATTATATATATTTAATATATCGTGGAATTTGTTTTCCAGATCAGATTAGAAAAAGGAAATAAAAATACAAGCAGAGAAATACTAATGTGCGGTCGCCCACACGGACTTTCCCTATTATTACTATTATTTATTTATTATTTATTATTATTATTATTATTATTATTATCATTATTATTATTATCATTATTGTAACGTTAATTTTAAATTTAAATTCTGGGAAATTGTGATGTCAGCATATACTAATTAGTCATAGATTAATTATGCCAACAATAAGAATAGGTTATAATTGGCAGGAATTAATATCATTCCATATTAACTAAAATCTTTTATGTATATATTTTGAAATCTTATCTCTTCAATAAGCGTGTTTATTTGGTGGTATTTTCATATTTATGCGCAATCAAATACGTTTGTTTATTTAGTCGTCATCGGAATTTATTTGAGTTTTTATTTAAATGATATTTTGATATTAGAAAAATAATACTTTTTTCATCTTTTAAGTAAATATTCGATTGTTTTGAATAGTTGTACGATGTGATATAAATAGATGTTGATGTAATATTTTGAATATAAAATTGATTTTTAATATAATATAAAAAATGAAAAATAGGTGTTTGATTTGATATTTTTAGGAAGAAAAAAATTGGATAAATAATGTAAATCCAATCTAATCTTTCAAACAAACACACATAATCGTTCTGATGCAGAGATAAAAGTTTATGATAACTTATGTTTAGTTATATTATGTGGTCACTTTTTAATATTAGTTGAATTTAAGGTTTAAACACGACTGTAAACCTTATTTACTAATTATAATTTATTTTGCTTTAAAACCGCAACCGCTATCCGAAAGTACACACTAGAGGTGTGTTTGTTTGGGGGTTTGGATTTTGAGTTGGGATTTGAATAGTAAAAATTTTGAATTTGAATAGTTGTATGATGTGATATAATTAGGTGTTGATGTGATGTTTTGAATGTAAAATTGATTTTTAGTATAATATAAAAAAATAAAAAATAGGTATTTGATTTAATGTTTTTGGGGGGAAAAATAGGATGAATAGTGGAATTAAAATCCAATCCCCCAAACAAACACACCCTAGATAAACCCCCAGCTGAACCTAATACCCAACAAACTGAATCCGGCAGACAAATTACACTAGGCGAACCGTGTATGACAGGTGACCTGGAAGCGTCCAGAGTTTAAATCCATGAGCTTAAGGTCATAAATCCACCCTATACCACTAGGCCATCTCTTACAGCACGTTTTACAATTTTAGATGTTGACAAGCCTACACCAAATAAAAGCTGTTTGGTTATGGGATTTGGGTTTTGGAGGAATTTTGAGAGTTGGATTATGAAAATAAATTTACTAAGTCAACCTTGATTTTAATAATCATTACTCTATTTGTTATATATAAAAAATAGTTTTATTTATTTAATTTGTTTATGGAAAAAAAATTTTTTTTTTTCTTTAGATGAAGAATTATATTTTACTGTTTACTTTTTTTTTTAATATTTAATTTGTTTATGGAAAAAAATTTTTTTTTTTCTTTAGATAAAAAATTATATTTTATCTGTTTACTTTTTTTTTTAATTATTTTCTAAATTTTATACTACAAAAGATAAAAAAAAATACATAATATATAAAATTCGTATTCAAATTAAAAGAATGAAGGGTATGTTTCTTTACCGTGGTTTGGAGAAATTTTGGTTTTTATTTGGTTTTTATTTGAATTTTGAGTTGAATTTGAATTTATGTGTTTCTTCTGTATTTAGTTTTGGATTGGGTTTGGAGAGTTTTGATGTGTATTGATTTGACGGTAATGAATATATATATATATAAATGTGTATTAATTTATATAATTTGATTATAAATTTATATTACATCTACATATATATTTCTAAATTTTTATTTATTTGTATTATAAAAAAATTTATTATCTACATTGTATATATTTTATTAAATTATAATTATTATAATTATTTTATATTTATAATTAAAAAAAATTAAATAAACGCTCGTGATTGTATCCTCCAAAACTCATCCAGCCCAGTGTTGAGAACAGACCAAAAAAATAATGGTTATGAATTTAATAAAATAAATTATTGGAAACCGTGTGTGTATGGATATATTTGAGAACAATTTGCGTGGATTTTTTTTTTATTATTTTTTAAAAAATTCTTTTTGTAAGTTCCACCTCGCATATATTATTTTATATTATCCGTCCCATTAAAAGTGTCTATATTATTATAAATACGAGAATTTAGATAAAATATAATTAATATATAATCAAAAAGTATAGTTGTAAAAATAATTATAGATTAAGATTAAAATAATTAAATAGTTTAATTGAAACAAAAAACTTTTACATTTTAAATTTTAAAATATGATTATAATGTATAACTATATTTCAAAAAAAGAAAATGACATATTATGTGGAATGAACAAAATAAAAAAATAAAAAATTATATGGGACGTTGAGAGCATAATACAATAATAGGAGTAATAATTATTATTCCCTCCGTCCCACATAATTTGTCCCTATTTTCTATTTTCGTCCGTCTCACATAATTTGTTCATTTCTTTTTTGGAAATATAATTATACACTTTAATCTCATTTTAAATTTTAAATTTTATAATTTTTTAATTTTAATTAAACTATTTAGTTATCTTAATCTTAATCCACAATTATTTTTATTATACGATAATTATTTTTATTAATACACTTCTTAATTACTTACTAATCACACTTTACCTAAATTATCGTATCTACATTAATAGACCCATAATACATGGGACGGAGGGAGTATTAATTTAATAATATCATATATATTATTTTGTGTATGATTTTTTTAAATAAAAAATTTGCTGGGTCTCACTATTTTAATAACTTATACTCCCTTCGTCCACAAAAAATTAATAATTTTGTTAGGGATAATAATATTTTAGTTATATAGATTACTAAGTTTATTTTAGCTAGTATAAAAGTTATTAATAATAAGTGATATTGCTTTATTATTGTTTATATGAGTAGTAGTTGATATTTTAAATATTTTTAGGATTATATTTTAATAAAAATGCATACAATATGGATATTATATAATACAAATAAATAAAAATATACTCCCTCCGTCCCAGAAAATATGAGACTATTACTGTAGATACGATAATTTAGGTAAAGTATAATTAGTATATAATTAAGAAGTGTATTAGTAAAAATAATTATTATTTAGTAAAAATAATTATAGACGAAGATTAATATAAGTAAATTGTTTAATTAAAATTAATAAAATTATAAAATTTAAAATTTAAAATGCGATTAAAGTGCATAATTATATTTCCAAAAATAGAAAGGACAAGTTATGGGACGGACAAAAATAGAAAATAGGGACAAATTATGTGGGACGGATGGAGTATATTTATTTATTTATAATTAACTTAAAACAGATTATATAATAAATGAGAAGTTTTGAATATAAATAAAAATATTGGTTTATGGAAGAGAGATATAAATAAAAAAGTTTTGAGTACGTCATACGTGTAAAAAATTAGAAATTTAATGAAACTGATTTATATTTGTTAAATATGTTTAAAATGAATAACTTTACTAAAAATAAAAATTGGCATATTTAGGACGGACAAAAAAGAAAAATGTGTGATAAGTGGTGGAATGAATATTAATATTCATTTTTACTATATTTTTGTTGTGTTTTGGTATTTTGTTATGTTTTGATATTAATACATTTGGATTTAAATAATTATTTGATGTAATATTAAGTACTTATATAATATCTTATATATTAATATATATATTATATACATTGTCTTGAACGTATGTATATTTTAATATCTTTTTAATATTAATTGAAAATTGTATCAGTAAAAAAAATATTGGATAACACACTATTTTTGATATTTTTCTTATATTGAAATAAAGATAATAATTATATAGTATAATATCAATCAATATTGATATAATTTTAGATAAATAAAAAATAAATACTAATTTCGTTCGGCTTTAAAGGTCTTATTTACTTTTTACGTGTTGATATTTGTATATTAATTATTATATGAAAACATAATATAAATTAAGAAAAAATTTCAAAAATAATTTCATTAGTGTCTTATAATATTAATAGAAGGACATTTGTACAAAAAAAATTATATAAATATAAGGAGATTTTTAATGGTAAGTATAATGACGCAAAAGGTAAATGTGACCTTCGGAAGCGGACGGAGGGAGTACTATAATATGATTTTTTTAAAAAAAATAAAATACTATACTCCCCATTCCCTTAACAATATATTCATTTTTTCATTTTAATCTGTCTCATAATAAAATATCAATTTCCTTTTTTTTTTTAGTAACTTTACTATTTACCTAACATTATAAATATCTTTACAATTTAAAATATATTATACAAATATCATCACTTTTATATCATACAATACTAATAAAGTTTGTTAAGTCTTTTTATCTTTATTTCTATTACATTCTACTATAATATTAATATTTTTAAACCTCTGCGTGAAAAAATACAAGGATAATAGATAAGATACATAAGGAGTATTAGTTTTCATTATTATTTACTTTAGTATGGAATTTAATGAAAATATTTTAAATGTAATCTGCAATATTTTTTTTATTATGTAAAAACCCCCTTCATTCGGTAATTTAATTTTAGCATTTTTGAATAGACACGAAAATTTTAAAAATAAAATTTTTTTACTAAAAATTGATAAAAATATATAGATAATTAGATGTACTTATGAAACTTATGAAAGAGAAAATATGGATAAAGTGTAATACTTCCTTCGTCCCATATACCGTGTCTGCTACATTATAGACACGGTATTTTAGGAGAGATGTAATTAGTAAATAATTAAAAATGTATTAGTAAAAATAATTATCTTATGATATAAATAATTATAAATTAAAATTAAGATAACTACTTACTT